AGATGATGTGGCAAATTATTCTCATGATTTTAATCTTTCTTCAACCAGAAGAAACTATGTTTTCATGGAGTACATGTGATTGTGTTAAGGCCATTGGGAAAATGTCTATTTTAGGCTCTCATGTACCACACAAGATAGCATAATTACTTTTTCTTCCTTTACTTTAGAGTATGACACAATTACATTGCTCACAATAGAACATACCATGATTGCTTTTCCTCCCTGCTAGAGAGCAGAAAATATAAAAGGAAGAACAAAGATAATTTTGGGGTCACTTTAGAATTTTGTCTACCCAGTGAGGGTTCAAAGGTAATTAATAGACCTTCTTCTTAGATAATGTCAAAACATATCTATGTTCTCTGAATCTCTTTCTCACCTGGAAAGAACATCTAATAGATTTATCAAAGGAGAGATGCTAATTTCAAAGAATGTTATTTGTAAAGATAATTTTATTTGGACAGGGTCTTGACTTTTTTCTATAATACCAGGATGGAGGTTATTGCTAGACACTAAGTCCTAGGAAGGAAATCAGAAAATCTATACTCATTTGTTACATCTATTATGAATTGAGAGAGACCTTATGTAAGCCATTTATATGTTCTGCTCCTTTCTCAGAAAGTAAATTTTCTGACATTTTCATGGCTACAGAATAAGGTTTGAGCAACAACTTGGATAGTAAGAAATTAAGGGAAGTGATAATATATTTGTAAAGAATAAATTTGTTTTGGATAGAAAGTGTGAAAAACAAACTTTTTGATTTAGAAATGTAATTAAAATACTCAGAAGCTCTCTTTGGTTTTGTTTAAAGTGCTATTTTGGAATTTCGAGTCACTGTGCTGTTTTCTTTATTTGACTTAGGAAAGTATAGTTCTTTTTTCCCCCTTCTGTATACTTCCTGGCTAGTCCCACAAAGTTTAATGTCTTTCAGTTTTTAAACAAAGTCCTCATGTTCAATTCCTGGGGGAGTTTTGCCATTATGTAAAAAAACATCTTTCTCTATAAATAAGCAATTTTAGCTTTTATTTGTCAGGAAATAAGTCACACAATGATGTCAAATTTACTACACAAATTGTGTAACATATTCATATATTTTGCAGTAAATGAGCTCATCTAATTTATCCACATGCAGACTTTTTAAAAACTGCACAGGAACCTCCTACACCTTCAGAAAGCAGTTTGACATAAACTATTAGAGTAACATTTTGGAAAATCTAGGAAAATATTGATGGCACTCTGTCCCTTAATAAGAACAGACATCCCCTCCACCTAGCTCTAGACAAGGTGCAATGTTCTTTGAGAACCAACTGTGAAGACACCTGAGTTGTACAGCATTTCAAAGGAGTCACTTTTACATCTAATATACAGAAGGTTTGGAATGGGAAGCTTTGCTTTTTAGTATATAATGGAAGTATAAGAGATAATTTCTTAGTCAATGAAAGTGAACTTCAATCATTTCTTTATTCACAGTTAGTTAGAACTTCCTTTCCATTGCCCAGACATCCTTCAAAATCTGTTTTTTCCACAGCATGGAAGCAGCTTAAGTGAAATTTCAATTTTAGATTTATTTTGTTTCACAGGTAGACTCTTCCTTCCTCCTTTAAACAACTTCCTCCTTCATACTATCCCTTCTACTTCTTTCCTGTATTTGATGAAGTATTAAAATTCAGTTGGTTACTTTTCTTCACCATTCACTTATATACAAATACATTTTTATATGAAAATTTTCAGGCCAAAAAGCACTCAAAATAAAAATAGTCATCTATCATGCAGACTGACGTTCTGATAGCTGTACGGGGCAATTTAATTACTGATTTTGTTGGATCAATTACACATTTTTTTCTAAAAGAAGGGAGTTGTACAATGTTCATGACAACTAAATTACAGGTGAAAATACAGTTTCTTTATTAATCTCATGTCATTTTTTAAAAAATTAAAAATGATATTATGAAACGTGACCAGCTACTTTCTTCAAAGACTTGATTAGTACTGAATAATTTTGAACTATTTACATAAACTAACTCCAAGAAAATAGAAAATTTGTCATCACAGACAGTGCTCAAAAAGAATGTGTCAAAAACTATCATGGTATTTTGGTATTTCCAAAAGAAATTAATTCCAGAACACCTGCTCTAGGCAGCCTCAGTAGAAAACTTATTTAACTTCCTGTTGGGACTATCTGCAAGACCCAGTATGTACATGTTAAGCTATTTTGTTAAAATATTGAGATATGTGAGCGATAGGATTTAGTGACATGAACTTTTGTAAAATTTTTTTAATGGTGTGCACATACTGTTTATACCTGGCTATATGGCAAATAAAAAAAATACACCAAAGATCTCTCACTTTATAAAGCTTGAATCATGACCCATGAAAATTCAATAGGCAACTGTATGCTTGCCTCTGACCAGTCCCAAGTCCTATCTCTGTGAGTTGTGCAAAAAGTGAAAAATATGCTTTTTGACTCTGACTTAAAATGTTAAAAGAAAGAATAAAATTGTACATTTTTCTTGTATTATTTTAAGTTCAGGTGCTTATATTTTCCCATGTGAAGATTTCTTTTAAAATTGTGATTGCTTCTGGCTTTTGAAGATGGCATAATTCAATATGTGTTGATCACATACATCATGAAATCTCACCCAGAAATATACTAGAATTAGTGTTATCAGAGAAATCATTATAATTTAGAATGTTTTCAGTTGCACTATACTGAAAACTCAAACTAAATTAGGGAAAAAATAGAGAAAAAAGGTATCAGCATAGAAGCCACAAATCACAGCTTCCCTGGAAGCTGGAGTTTAGTCACTTGGAAAAACAGCTACTTAGCAATGAGAGAAAGAAGAGCTTTGGGAATTAAGAAAGAATTATCAGAAAAGCTAAAAGTCATGGAGAAACAGAAGACAACCCAGAGAAATGACAGAAACAGTCTGAAACACTAACCCCAGCTCACAGGGATGGGACATGTCTCCACAAACACAATGTAAGCCAAGAGGTTCAGCAGCCCTAGTGATAAACAATGGACTGATGGTTCCAGTCCCAGGGGAAAAAATCCATAGTTACTGTAAACTTGGAAAATAGTGTGGGACTTATCTTTTTGTCTAAATTATTACTGATTTTTTTCTATTGTTAAGATTATAATAGGTGTTGCTTTTAATTGATTTTTACTATACGTTGATATTGAGTTTATGTTTCAATGTGTATTAGTATTTTGGATTTCTTTTCTATTGTCAATGATGACATAGTTTGTCACTTTTAACTGGTATTTACTGTATGTCAATATCATTTTTTCTTTTATGTTATTGATATTACTTAAGGTTGTTTTGTCCTATCTGAGTGGTGGTAGGTATCAAGTCCTCAAAAGAAGGCTAGAAACTAGGAGGGTCCTCAAATAGAAATGAATCTGTTCAAATGAACACAAAAATCGCAATACAGAAAAACAGTAAATATGAAAACAAGATGGCAACCTGACTCTTTTGGATTTCCATAGTTTATTAGTAAATTAATACAAAGATATCAAAGTGGATTAAACACTGGGAAAAACAGCCCCAAAAACTTATTTATAAAATGATTGGTGGAGTATTTTTGTTAGATAATCATGGCTCCCTAGTTGGTGGTAGTAAGGGACAGAGAGTGTGCATGCACTGAAGAATAGCAGGTGTCATGGTGGGTACAATAGAGAAAACAAGATTCAGGAAAGTAATTAAATGAAGAAACTCACTGGACCAAAATGTAACACAGCAAAAAAAAGCTAGACCCTTCTTGTATTGTGGCATCTCTTACATCCTAAATTCAGTACACACAGTATCTTGAGAGGATTGGGGATTTCAACAGTGACTTGGACAATGGAATAGATCACTCGATCACTACCTTCCTGTCATAGTCGAGTGCTTATGTCACCTTGAGAAGTTTGGCTAAGAAAGGCTTAGCCATATTGGCTCAGCAATTCCACACCCTAGGACATGGGAGATTCACCCTAGGGCTGCCCCTCACCTGACTATTATAAAGGGGAAATGAGAAAGGTCTCATTCTCTTGTTTCTTTGGAGAATCTCCAGTCTTTGCCTTCCAGTGCAGACCCTTCAGTCTTTCAGAGCAGACCCTTCAGTGAAGACCCATGGGCCTCCTGATACAGAGCCCCACAGGACATTATGGTGAATCCCAGAACTTCGACTAAATCTTTTGGTCTCTAGTGTGTGGAAAGGCCATCTAGACTCCTCATCTGATCCTTGGATAGCTATTGTAAGCTAATCTTGTAAATTCTTATATATATTTATGTGTCTTGCTTTCTATCAGTTTCTCTAGGAAATACTGACTGATACAGATTTTGGTACTGGGAATGGCTCTAGAAAAATAAAACTGTAAAAATGGAATTCTTTAATGGCTTTAGGGTTTGCTGGAGTCTGCTCTCTAATTTAATGGGACCTAAGACCACCATGGTCTCTCCTTCAACTCCTGTGGGCAATAATGATAATCCTTGGAATGAAGTGTTTCAAGTAATATGCAAGATCAATCCACTTGATTATGCTAATTCACCAGTTGTGAGATATCAGGAATTTGGCAACACCATATATGAACATGGAAGAGTGGGAAACATAATGATGCTGGCCAGTTAGTCTTAGCATCAAAGGAAAAAGTAGCACAGAAAAATAAGAAGCTTAAATATTCAAAATCCCAGCTCCAGACACACAAAAGAAATTCAAAAGTTTCTCAGTGTGTACTCTTACAAGCAGGGGCCTGATGAGCAAGTGTAGTAAATGGATATTACAGGTGTGGAACAATGGTGGCTGAAATATACATCTGGATCAGGCTGAGTTTGTTGATATGGATATCCTATTAAACAGGGATTCTGAATTAATGTTGCAACTTGTGGAGTACAGAAAGGCATTAATAATTTATTTGGCAGTTGGCAGAAGTGAGGGAAAAAGGCTCATGGTGAATGAATTAGAACTGGATCAACTGGAACATTTAAGGGCAATGGGCTTGATTGAATCCCTGATTCACTTTTATTTTATACCCAGATGTTTTCAAATTTAGACAGTTTACATTGGAGTTGTATGACTTTGGTTCTATTTTCACCCTTTAGAGTACAGGATATTAGAGTATTACAGTTTCAGATCCATTAATGAACAAATTGTGTGATAAAGGACTGAAGCATGACCTGAATTCTGGGAGTTGAGTGACTTTCCTGTTCAGGATAGGGGAAAGAACAAATAGGTGCAAGGTCATCTCCAAAGGAGAATAGAACCACATTACTCAGCCACCAAGGTTTTGGCTTCAGCTCACTGAGAGCAAGAAGGGCTGCTGGTCCTGGTTATCCATGATCATCTTCATCACAGTAAATCAGAATCTTCAATTTTCCAAGCTAACTGTAGGCAGGAGAAAGTAAATCCAGACTGACTTATTAACTGGATACTACAAATGTCCTCCATGAGTTGGCAGAATCTTCAAAGTGACTGGTGGAGCAAGGACCCTTTCATGTGCTCCCAGTTGTTATATAGTGCATACAGGCTGGTAAGTGTTAGGCCTGCCAAACCCCCTCGGGCAACTCCTCGAAGCCCACCTGTACATTTATACAACATGCCTGTCATGGTTCCGGCTGCCACTGTGTTCAGGTCATCTTCTGCACCTCGTGTTTTCTCAATGATAACACCAAATGCACTATATAGCAAAGCTAGAGAACCCAGAGTATTGGCCCACAGTGCCCCTTGCCTAGTCACCATATTCAAAATCTGTACATTTCTTGGTTTGGACCAGGCCATAGTCTGGGTTTCCTTCAATCCTAGCCGAAGACCGTTCACTGCCCCAAAGGCAGCCCCAGTCATACAACATCCTCCAATGGTAAAGAAGGCCAGTTCAAACCTGCCCCGGGTTTTAATTCAACTGGATCAATCAAGGATCATTTAAGGGCAATGGGCTTGATTGGATCCCTGAGTGGCAGAGGCCAAATGGCAGCTCTTAATTGCCAAAGGCATGTACTTACTGTGCTGGACAGCAGAAGCAGAAAAATGAACAATATAATCTGACACATATAAACCTGTAACATTGGCTGATCAACCATGGTATTCCCAAAAGTGACATAGATGGGAAGCCTACAAAATTATTACTAGATGTACATAATCAAAAAAGTCTACTTCAAATCATAGTAAGAGGGAAACTCAACCCCTCACCCTATTTCTGGACTTAAGCCAGTTTACAGATCCAGAACCCCTTGAATGAAGGGGAGGCCAGGTCTCTTTGGGGAAGTACCCTGATGCACCAAAAATGTATACAGTCAATATCTCTCCCATTCTTCTCCAGAGGGACCCGAGGCCTTTCACTTGAGTGACTATACATTGGGGGAAGGGAAATGATCAGACATTTCATTTTGAGGACTACTGGACACTGTTTCTGAATAAAACTGATTCCAGGGGATCCAAAATATCACTGTGGCCCTCCAGTAAGAGTAGGGGCTTGTGAACGTCAGGTGATCAATGGGGTTTTAGCAAAAGTCCGACTTACAGTGAGTCTGATGTGTCCTCAAATCCACCCTGTAGTCATTTTCCCTGTTCCATAATGCATAATTGGGATAGATATACTCAGTACTTGGCAGAATCCTAACATTTGTTCCCTAATCTGTAGTGTGAGGGCCTTTGTGGTTGGGAGGGCAAAATGGAAGTCATTAGAGTTACCTTTGCCTGGGAAAATAGTAAACCAAAAGCAGTATTGCATTCCTGGAGGGATTGCAGAGATTGGTGCCACCACCAAGCACTTGAAGGATGCAGGGGTGCTGATCCCCACATCTCCATTTAATTCTCCCTTTTGGGTTGTGCAGAATACAGATGGGTCTTGTAGAATAACAGTGGATTACTGTAAACTAAATCAAGCGGTGACACTGATTGTGGTTACAATACCTGATGTGGCTTCCTTGCTTGAGGAAATGGACACATTTCATGGTACTTGGTATGCAGCTATAGATTTGGCTCATGGCTTATTCTCCATACCCATCCATAAGGGAAATCAGAAACAATTTGCTTTTACCTGGCAAAGCCAGCAATACACCCTCACTATCCTACTTCAGGGTTATATTAACTCTCCAGTCTTATGTCACAACTTACTTTGTAGAGATCTTGAACACCTTTCCCTACCACAGGGTATCACACTGGTCCACTACATTGAAGATGTTATGCTGATTGGGTCAAGTAAGCAAGAGGTAGCATCTACTCTAGATTTGTTAATAAAACATTTGAGAGCTAGAGGATGGGAAATAAATCCAATGAAAATCCAAGGCCTTTCTACCTCAGTGAAATTTATGGGAGACCAGTGATGTGAAGCCTGTAGAGAAATCCCTTCTAAGGTGAAAGATAAGTTGTTGCATCCCCTTACTACTAAAGGTGTTGTGCCTCTTCGGGTTTTGGAGGCAATATATTCCTCATTTAAATGCCTTACTTTGGCCCATTTACCAAGAGACTCAGAAAGCTGCTAGTTTTGAGTGGGGCCCAGAATAAGAAAAAGCTTTGCAACAGGTCTGGGGTGCTTTTCAGGCTGTTCTTCCACTGGGACCATATGATCCAGCAGATCCAATGGTACTTAAATTGTCAGTGGCAGTAGAGAGGCTGTTTAGAGTCTCTGGCAAGACCTTATAGGTGAATCTCAGCAGAAGCCTTTAGGATTTTGTAGCAAGGCTCTGCCATCATCTGCAGATAGCTACTAGTCAAATATTTATAATACACTTAGTTTTAGTGCCCCCCCTTCTACGCATTTCCTGCCTCATTCAAGCAGAGTCCAGATGTTCTTACAAGGCAGTTAGAACAGTAACTGCCTTTGTGGAAGGCAATCTTTCCATGGACTTGGAAGTAGGGGCTAGTAGTTTTTTTAGTCTCTTTTTTTAGTATGTTTGTGATACGTAATAATGACATTCCCCAGAGGATCAGCATTTTAGCTCCACATCAGATCATTAGGCACTAGATTCTCATAAGGAGTATAGAACCTAGATCCATCACATGCACTGTTTAGAGTAGGGTTTGTGCTCCTATGAGAATCTAATACCACCAATGGTCTGATGGGAGACAGAGATCAGCAAGTAATGTGCTCTATGGGGAGTGGCTATAAATATAGAAAAGGCTTTACTGGCTTATATGCCACTTCTTCTGCCTTATGACTTTGTTCCAGTCCATAGCCCGGAATTTGGAGACCCTCAATTTAGAAGATGAGATTGTGCAGATTGTATGAAAGAAAATAGATGGTCAGATGAAGTGTCTGGAGTTCCATTACATAAAATAACAAAACAGTGAACATAGAGGGGGGAAGGAAGGAAGGAGGAAGTGGGGAGAGAGAGAAAGAGAGCGGGAGAGAAAGAGAGAGAGAGAGAGAGAGAGAGGAGGGAGGATGATTTTAGAGGAAATCTCAACAAATCTTTTTGGGAGGTCTTAAGCTAATGTCAAAATTTCAAAGAAATACTGTAGTTCTATGTCTCCTGGAAGTCAATTGATGAGGAACAGTCCTCGGGGCTCAAAATCTTCAGCAATTGTGAAGTGAAGGCCTGAGTCCCTCCCTTAGTCATATTCCTGCAATAAAGTCTGAAGCAGCATTCCATGACTGATGTCTTTTCACATGTCAAGATGACTGACAATAGCAACATGCACTTTCATTTGTATTTAGGTAGAAATAAAAAGAAAGCTTTCTGCTATAGTTTGGAAGTTGAATGTCTCCCATTAATACAAATTCCATGTATGAAGCTCTTGGTCTCGTTATTTGTGTACAGGATCGCTATGAATTTTTGATTGTTGACTGTTCTGAACCTAGAAGGGATATCATTCCTAGACTTTTTCCATTAAGTTGTTCTTTTACTACATGTGAAAGATATTCCAACTTACATTAACTTGAACAAGAAGATGTTTCTATTGTAAACTATGAACTCAGGGAATAGTTTCCAAGCATGGATCTACCATTATGCAAGAGGTGGCTTTATTATCAGGTTAGCTTCTCTGAGGCTTGAACTCCTAGAATCATGTGAAACAATATGCTCTATTTTATTCAAATCAATGATGAGGCAGACAAAACTTCTGTACTGACTGAGGAAGGACATTCCTTTTAGCCTGTCTTACTCTACATTGTAATACTACAGCAAAATGCCACAGAGTGGGTCGTTTACAATGCATATAAATTTACTGACACAATTCTGAAAGGTAGAAAGTCAAAGGTAAAGAGGCTGTGTCTTTTGAGGGCCTTCTTGCTGCATCTTGATATGAAAGGAGGCATCACATGGCAGAGAGGCAAGGGAGAGTGAGAGAAGGCAAGCAGAAGTGACCTTCATCTCCTAATAATAAACCCACTCCATCATAATGCATTTGTCCACCTCTGAGGAGGGAGCCCTCATGATCAAACACCTCTTGTAGGTCTCACTTTCCAATATTGTCACAGTAGAGAGTAAATTTCAAAATGAGTTTTGGGGAGCACCAGCATTAAAACGATTGTATAGCCTATGGGGACCACATGTTCATTTTTATAATTATTCCTGAACAAATAAGGCTGGCAGAGAAGCTCAACATATTCTTTTTGCCTGGCTTCTAAAGTGATTAGTAGATTACAATATCAGGACTCAAACCTGAGCTGGGCATGATATTAACTTTTGAGAGACATGGGCCATGTGATGATGAACTTTAGTATTAATTGACTGGGCCATGCCCAGTTGTTATACACCAATGTAGATGTTTCTGCAAAGGTTGTTTTTTTTTTGTTTTGTTTTGTTTTTTGAGACAAGGTCTCACTATGTAGTTGAGACTGACCTGTAACACACTATGGAGCCCAGACTGGTCTCAAACTCACAGCGATCCTCCTGCCTCAGCCTCTCGAGTGCTGGGACTACAGGTGTGCACCACCATGCCTGGCTCTAAAGGTCAGTTTTAGATATGCTTCATTTTCCACAATGCAGATGGATTTTATAAAATGAGTTTTAGGCCTAATGGGCAAACTGAGGCTTCTCCAACAAGAAGCAGTTCTATCACTGGACAGTGATTCTCCTCTGGGTTCCCAGCCCCAGATTCCCCTTCAGATGTCAGACTGAAAACTGCAGAAATTCTTCCATAAATTCTAACTTGTTGGTTTCCCCTAAAAATTTCAGACTTGACAGTCTCCACATCCACATATGCCAATTCTCTAAAATTAATCTCCCTTTATCTCTGTATATCATATTGACTACAATTATTGAGAGAACCCTACTGAAGGCCACATATAATAAGATGGGATATTTGATTAGAATTCAAGTACTCTAAGAGGTAGAAGGGAAGAGATGGGTGAGGGAATTTTGGCAATAATATTCATTTAACTGCTGTAACCCAATAGTCAGTAATTTCAGAGAGGAAAGTAGAATTGCTGATGGGAAAACTTACAGTAAATGGCCCTACAAAAATGTAAGTTTTCCTATATCAGGTTTTTGTTAATAATGTATGTAAACTCTTATCTTAGTAAAATATGATAATTGGGATTAGCCAATTCTGAAAAAAATTACAGATTTCAATTTAAAATAAATTGTGAAGGAAACAGCCAGTCCATTTAGTTTTGGCTGGAGTTTTAGGGCAAAGATTGAATTTGAGGCATTGTTTGGTAGGGAACAGAGAGGAAAATACAACTATGATTTTATCAACTTAAATAAGCCAGATACATATTAAATAATGAATGTATATTTTAAATGTAAAATTATTGTATATCCTCGTTATTGTCTGATTTCACTGTGTCCACATCATTTTGTCACAATTGATCATCACATTACTTTTTTTTTTTTTGGTACCAGGGATCGAACTCAGGACCTTGCGCTTGTGAGGCTGGCAGCAGAACCACTGAGCCAAATCCCCAGCCCATGTTAGTTTTGGTTTCCTTGAAAGAGTAAGTGTACACA